TAATTTCTCAAATCATCGAAGAGAAATTCCCAAAAGCAAATCACACTTTATATATGGATGATTTGAGAATAATGACGGAAAGTAGTGAAGAAATGGGAATAATCCACAATGAAATTAAAGAAATAATAAGTGGAATAGGGATGGAAATGAATGAGAAAAAGTCAGGAATGGTATTAAAAAACATTAAAGAAATACCAAATGGAATGCAAAACATCCCAATCATTGAAGGTGAGGACTTGTATAAATACTTAGGAATATGGCAGTCCGACGAAATTGATGATACCTTCAATTGTAAAACCATCAAAGAAAAAATGATGAAAAAGATGGAAGAAATAAACAGTGATGAAAGTAGTAATAGAAGATATATTACTAGAATAAACACTGAAGTAATCCCTATCTTCAGATATTCAGCATCAGTTGTAAATTGGAAAATCACTGACCTAGATAAAATTGATTTGGAGATAAGAAAATATTTAAGAAAGGCAAAATACATTGGTGCCGGAAACTCCAAAGATAGGTTATATGTCCCTCTAGAAGAAATGGGTGAAGGATTAATAAATATAAGGGACGAATATGTTATTGAATTAGTAAGAACAGTGATGTACTACTGTACCAGAGAAAGTGAAATAGGAAATAACATATTAGAAAGATGGTACAGTAAGAAGGGAATATGGAATAGAATTAAAAAAGCCCTAGGTCATAAAATCCCAGAAACAAAGATAGAAGAAATAATAAATGAAGGGATAGAAAAGAAAAAAGAAAAAGAAGTAGTAGTAGAAATAAAAAAATTATTGACCGACCAATACATCAAAAAATGGAAGTGTCATCAAATAAGTGGATATTTCAGAAGATAGTTCGAGTCAAAAGGAGTAGATAAAACTACTACAGTGAAAGCATGGAAGTCCATCAATATTAAAAAAAATGCATTCCTCCAATTAACTAAAATGCAGGATGGAGCAATATTTTGTGGGTATAAAAAAGCAAAAATAATGAAAAATGAAAGATTAAAATACTGCCCACTATGTAAAGACAAGATAGCTACAGTAGAACACATTCTACTATCTTGTATTGGTCATAAAAAATCACAAATAGAAAAACATGACCATATAGGCATTATAATATGGGAGGGATTAATAAGAAAATACACTGGAAATAAACAATATAAAAAACCCCCATATGAAACAGTGTTCCAATATAAAGACATCACTATGATATGGAACAAACAAATCATGCCTAAAAGTGATGGACAATATCACAAAAGACCAGGCATATATGTATTAGATAAAAAGAATAAAACTGGTCTATTATTTGATATGACAATTGTGGCTGATCACAATATTAATTGAGTGTGTTGGAAAAAAAGGAATATGTATAAGGAATTAAAGAATAGGCTAATGAAAATAGAAAAATTAAAAGATGTCAAAATAATTCCAGTAGTAATATCAATAAATGGATTAGTAAATAAAGAAAGTAATAGATTAATTAAAGAATTAAAAATTGAAATTGACATTGTTAAAGAAGTAAAAAACCTTGTAATAAAAAACATGATGGATGTCATGGAATACTGCGGAGATCACAACCAAACATACTCCGTAGAGCTGCTAGAAGAAGATGAAGACGAAGGGACGGGATTAGTCTCCCCTGAGCCAGGAAGAATAGAAGCTAGTTCTATTAATACTTAATTAATTGCTTTTTATTTTTATTATTAATTAATGGATCTCAAAATTTTTAGTTAATTATGTCAAATGATACAAAAATGAAATTTGTTATTTTCAAAGATAGAGTAACTAAATTTGCTGAGTGGGTTGATAATGATAATCCAAAAAATACAACTAAAAAATATAAAGAATATATAGAAATAGTATTAAGTACAACACCAAAATTTTTTGAAAGGATGTATTGTATGTTTTATCCATTAGATGAACAAGCCAGATGTGTATTAGAAGAAGTAGTTTCATCAATTGATTTATTTAGAATGAAAGAATCTCCTTCATTTACTGAATTAAGAACAGTGGTAAATGAAATAAGACCAGACCTTTCTCCAGTATTAAATAAATTTCTTAATTATCAAGTAATTTATTGTGTTCGTCACATACCACTTATATCTGAATTTCTGAATGAATTAAAACCTGATGAATATAAAATAATACAAGAAAAATTTCAACATTTCTTAAAGAAAACACAATTTATTGTAAGAACACAAAAATTAGTTGATTTAATAAGTCAAACATATGAAAACTCTCCTAAATTATCAACTAATTTTACATTTTCTGATATTCAAAAGAAATATCAATGGTCTGAACTCAGACTACCTATCTCTGAAATTGACTTAAAACAAACTAAAACTAATGAAATTGAACAAACTATTGAACCAAATGTAATAAAAGAAACTAATGAAATTGAACAAACCAAAAAACCTAAATTACCTTTATCACTTAGGAAAGAATCTGATATTATTCAACCTAAACAAAGTGTTTCTACAAAAGTATCTTCTATTGATCTAAGTTCTGTTACTCAAATACCTTATAAAGATATATCATCAAATGTTGAACAAATTAAAGAATTAAGATATTTAGATATTGATTGTAAAGAAATAACTACTGACCAAAAAGATGAACAAATTGATTCACTTCTAAAATGTATTAAAGAAAAATTAAATCAAAACATGCAATTTTCTGATACTCAACAAACAGAAGATGTTTTAAAGATATTATCTTCACTTTTTTAGTTTGAAATTTTGATTATTGTTATCTTTTTTTTTGGATGGCTTTACTTTGAATTATATTAAAACATGTTTAGATTCAATCATTGTAATTTTGACATTAAAATGGGTATAAAACCTTATTGATTTTGAATATTTTAATAAGGAAATATTATAAATTACTAATAGTGTAAATGTGTATTATAAAAATGAATATAAAATGATTAGAATGTCAGAAGAATTAATAACAATAATGTTTATAATAAACAACAGTAAGAATGACTTCTATAATTTTTATGAATAGTTTATTTAATTAATAAATTAGAGTAAATAACTTTTTATATTTACTTTAATGTAAAAAAGATAAATACATAGTATTTTTAATTAAGTGTTTTACATTTTCAAAATGTCTTAATCATTAACAATTAATACTTTGATACTTTGATATAAAATCCAATAAAAATTATTGTTAAATAAATAACTTCTTTCATTTTCACTCTATAAAATTTAAACTAATAGAAAGAATTATTTCAATCAGTAAATAAATAAACTTGAAATTAATTTTTTTTTTAAATAATTATATTATGAACTACTTCTCTTTGAATATTCTTCTTCTTTTTTGATGAAAAAAAAGTAACAAAAATTTATTTTGCTTTTTTTAATTTTTTTATTTTTCTAAATTCATAGAACTTCTGTGACTTTTTTATTTCTCGTAGTTTAATGGATGTATCACCAAGTGATGTTTGTTCAGTGAAATAAGGTTATAGTAGTAATGATACTTAGTCATAGAATTATGTAAAATATATTGAAACTGCAAGTCCTGAATTAGTCACAAAAATAAAAAAAGCTGAACATCTTCAATTAATGTTTGATGAAGATGAATTAGAAAATGAAATAAGAAATTGGAAAGCATTTGTTCGGTTTATGGAAGAAAACCAAAAAATTCTTCAACAAATTGGCCCTAAAATCAATATAATCCCTGGGTTTTGGTATACCGTTCTTCACAATGCTGGACTCTTTGATTATTATGCAACAAATCCAACTGATGTGAAAATCTTACAATTCTTATATTCAATTTCTTGTCATTCATTTTCTTACCAAATTGTCCCTTATCCAGGTTCAACAAATAAAAAAACCCTCAGGGTAAGTTTTGTCCTTTCATTTACCTTTAAACCAAATCCTTACCTTCTCTATAACACCTTAACTAAGAAGGTTACATACTTAGAAAGACATTTAAATAGACCACCAACCATCGTTAAGTTTGTTTATTTATTCTTTCAAATTTTGCTAGTATTAATTTATTAGCTCTGGAGTTTTTTTTAATGAAGGACAAGATCCACACAAAATCAATGGAGTTATTGTTGGGTCTTTCTTTGATTATTTTGTTCCATATAACATAAAAGATTTTTATGAAGATGAAACAGAAGAAGAAACAATCAATAATATGCTTGAAAAAGATTTTACTGTTACAGAAACTTTGATCAGAACGATATTAAATAATTGTGTTGAATGTTATCAAAATAAAAGAGAGATTATTTTTGATTGATTCAGTTTTCATCTTATGACTTTTCGTTTAGTTATTTCATAATCTAGTTGTTCAATCTTTAAAAGTCTTTTCATTTGAGTTTTCTTTAATAAAGAAAAAGATTTAAACAACCCTCCTCATCTTAAAATTTATAAAATGAACTTCATTTTTGGAACACTTCTTTTTATTGTGGCATTTGCTTCTTGTGATAATTGTAAGTCATGTGAAGACAAAAAATGTACTAACTGTAAAAGTGGGTTTATGATGTTAGGAGATAGTTGTGTTGATGGAAATACTGTTCTAGATCATTGTGAAGAATTTAATACTGACAAGTTTGGATGTAAAAAATGCGCTAGAGGCTATTCTCCTACTCTTCATGGACTTTGTTTAAGTTTGTCTCATACTATATATTTACATTACACAAAGTACTCAAACATTAATAGAATGTGAGCATTTGTTTGGTCCAGATTGTCTTGACTGTGATCAGACTAGATCAGATAAATGTACACAATGCAGAAATGGAGCTATCGTTACTCGGGAGGGGGCTTGTATTTGTTTGTTAATTTATTCTTTAAGATTGAATAAAATTTGAAAAAGAATGATATTTAAGAAATAGATTGCAGAAAATATTTTAGGCAATGTGCTGAGTGTGATGGAATGACAATGAGGTGTACCAAATGTTCAAATGGAAGAAAACCAGATAATGGCTTTTGTTAAAGGACAGAAAAAAATAATTAAAAAGAATTGAATTCACAAAATGATTCAATGTTTCATTTAATACCATTGTAAAGCAAAGAAACAACGAATAGAAAATTTATCAGGACTTACTTTACCTGTAAGAATAGTACTTTCAAAAGGATGAGAAGAAGTAAAGTTATTCGAAAAAGAAGCATCAATAAACGACTGATCATTAAGAGCAATAGTAAAAGCATTTTTTACTGAAAGGATAACATTTTTTGTAGGTGAGATTTGAATAAGAGAATCAGATGAAGGTAATGGTGTGAATTTAAGTGATAAAGAACCTTCAAAACCTTTCAATGAGAAAAGAGTAAATTGTGTTGAGCAAGACTCAGAGATAGATGGAGTAAATATACCAAATAAATTACCAGTAGAATCAAGTATTAAAATCATACAATTTGAAATCGATGAAAGTAATGAAGAAATTTTTTCACATGATAATTCATCAATATCACTTGAATAAATTAAATGATAGTCATTACATTCTGTCCATTTCATTAATGTTAATTGAACAGGACGTAATTTTTCTTTTAATCCCTCTTCAGCAAATTCAAGTAATTCATCCTTACATTCTCCCATTGCCTCTTTTCGGGCATTTGCTGTCATAGATTCATTATTTCTTTTTTCTTCTTCTTCACGTCTTAACCTTTCTTCTTCTTCTTTTTTTTTTCTTTCAAGATTCGTTATTGTTAAAACAACAGCAGCAGGTTTTTCTTCAACCTTTTTTTTTGTTAAATACTCTTCTTCTAAAGTAATATCAAACTTAATGTTTTTATTTGTTGTAACATCACAAAAGTCATCCAAATTAATACAAAATTTACCTAGGAAATCATCATCCCCAATTCTGTCCCAATCAAAACACAATATTTCTAATGGCTGGTGATCTGAAACTACAGTAAATGTTTCTTCCCATTTAGGTTCACTTGTGTTATTGTCATGTTTTGTTTTATATTCTTTCCCATTATTAGTAAATACACAAAATGGATCACACCATCCAATAGGGTCTGCTTTTGGCCAATTCATTCCTTTAACAAAAGTAATTTCAAACATATTCATCACTTAAAACTAATAAATTAAAATTTAAGTTCTTTTTTATAAGATCTAATACAATCAAATGTATTAAATCATTACAGAAGTTTAACTGACAAAGGGAATTTAAGTAGATAATGAATTGTTAAATAGTTCCAATATAAATATTGTTCATATACTAAATTATAAAGTGTATGGTATTAATCATTATTAAATTATTAAATTTAATATTCTTTTAAGATTTATTTGTTCATTACAACATACAATGAAAATCACTTAGAAATAATTATTCACTAACAAAAAGATTTAGATGACATTACAATGAATATATTCATAGTAATTATCAAACAAATAATAGACTGAAATAAAAATAATTTCAATAATAACTATAATAAATGAACTAATCAATAAAGAAATAGTAATAATGATGTAAAAACAAGGTACTATAATTGCAATGTAAATAATGATAAAAGACGTAATGAATAAGAATATGAAATATCAAATGAAGTAATGTGGAAACAGTTGATGTGAAATACAGAGATAGAGAATTATGTCATGAACAATATATTCATTGAATAATGATAGAAATAATCGCAAAAAAAAATAAAATGATGTGGAAGAATCAATATCTACTGAAAATTTATTTCATAACTTTTTATTTATAATATTCACTCTTTTTATTAAAAAAATAAAATAGTTGTGTTTCATAAACATCAAATACAAAAAAAATGTTTGTGATATGATAATTTTATATAAGAGATACAATTTATTGCATAATGAAATACCAAAATTAAAAGGTTATAATTTTCATATAAACAGTTTTTTCTATCTTTAATTAGATGTAATTTTATTTTAAATACAAAAAATATTATACTAATTAATTAGTATTTACAATATTTATAAATAATATAACTTTTAAATTATTTTTTGAAGTATTGTTTCCAATTAAGATTTAATAAATTTGTATTATTCTGAATGTAATTTTACATGATATATATCAATTTATTGTCATAACAATAGAAATATGAACTGAAATGATACAAATAATATATTACTGTTTATTTTATTTTCAAATAATAAATGGTTATACATATTCTATATAAATTTAATCAAATAAAATTATGAAAACACATATATCTATTAAATTAATAATATACTTTACAAAAAATAGATAAGTAGATTCAGCAATGAAAAAAAAAACATTAAGTCATCCGTGTGTAATACTTCAGAATAAATTTATTAAATAACATATTATCTATTCATTAATTTGCTTGATTAAACTAAACTTAATACTTTTTATACTATTTTTTGTTGAATTTGAATTGTCAAACAAAATTATAAAATAAATACAAAATACTTGATAAGAAAAGTTCAATAAACACATTTAATTAATCTTTAAATATTCATTTTGTTTTTCATTGATCCATTTTTAATTTGTCATTACTAAGTTGAGGTTATATCATTTTTATTATACATTTTTATTATTCTATTATCAAATTAATGTATTTTTATCATTTTTAGTCATTTTACTAAATTTCATTATAATGCACCAAATGATTCTAAAATGTTTAATAGTCATTTTATTTGTCTTATAATTATTTTTTCAAACTAACATTGTTTGCTTTTGTTTTATTTAAATATCAATTACCATTCTTTTCCATCATAAACATTATGTTATTGTAGTTTATATTCTTTCTTCAATCTTGAAATTCATTAATATTTTCTTATTTTTTTTCAGGATTTAGTGCATCTTTGGTTATTTATACAAATTTGTTAGTCTAAAATATATAGATACAGTTTTGTTTTTAGTTCTTTAAATCAAATACTTCTTTCTTATTGAATTAACTTATTTTCTTTCATTATTGTTTGTTTTTAGTGATTTTGTATTTTATAATAACTCTTTATAAACAATTTAACTTTTCTATATTTTTTTTTTAAAAATCTAATATTTTTTTTAAGTTCTTCCTTCTATACTGGTTATTCGTTCTAGTCAATTTTATGCTATATTTTAACTTATTATTGATATTTTGAAAGTTATTTCTTTTTTTATAGTTTAAGCTATTTTTTTGATTCGAAGATGATACGTTAAACACATGAGTCTTAAAATAAATCAATGCTTCAAATTTCCAGTTATAGTTTGGTTGTAGTTTTGTATTTGGTTAGAAAATATATTACTCAATATGGTAAATATGATAGTTATTGGTGATAGTAGAATATCTTTATGATAATAAAAGAGTATGTATTTGTAAAAGTTAGTACTCTTGATTTATTAAGATGAAAGTGTTTTTGTTAATATTGATATTATCAAAGACAAAATGATAATCATATAATAAATGAAATTAGTCATAAAAGAATACAATGATAAATGTATATTCTTTTATAATAAAATAAAAAAAATAAAGAATGAGGAAATTTAATATATATTATAAATCAGAAATGAAGTTAAATGAATAATAATTACGTTAATAAAGTTTGAAATAACTTTAATTCAATGTAAATAAATGAAGAGTTAATGAATAAACATTAAATCACGAAGATGTGATTTGTCTCTAGTGAAAAAGGAACAATAAAAAATAGAAGTAATAATATTTAATTATCTACCTTTTATTTGCTCTATTATTAGTTTTTAGTATATTTATTTTCGTTCTTATGAATGTATTTAGAAGCTAGATGATACGGTTTTATCAATATTATTTAAAATGCTTATAATGAATAACAAACTTATATAAAGAAATGAAAAATAAAAAAAAGAAATATTCTATAAATTGAAACAAATGATAAACCAAAAAGACTCAACACCAAAATATAACAAAATAAATAACAATTCACATTAAAACAAATAATTAATAAAATAATTATTATTTAACATTTCTTCTCTTTTTTTTTTAATTATAGTTTTTATAACCTATTATGTTTCGAGATGAGTTAATTGAAGGCAAATATATTAAGACTCAAAAACAATTATAAATGAATATGTTTATCATTTCAACTTCAACAGAAATTAATACCTACTAATAAACATATTATAACCTTTTCTTTTAATAACTGAAAGAAAATAAAGAAAAAGAGAATGAGCACAATACTAAAATAACCTATAGGTTTATATTATAAAACTATAAATGTGAGGACATTATGGTTGAACCACAAAAATTATGTGGATAATATAATATCATATAAAAACCAATTTATATAATAAAATTACTCTTCAACATGAAAAGCTTATAATTTTTAGTATATTCCATTTTTTTTATTTGAATTAAGTTTTACTTTGTCTATAATTTTTCAATGGTGTTAGTTATTGAAAAAAAAGTCTCTCAACTTTTTTTGTAAAGTTTATAATACTAATATGGTTTTAAGATAAAATGGGAAATTACGATTTATTCCAAATGAAGAAAAACAAATAAGTCTTAATATTAATGTAAAAAAGAGGAAAAAATATAAATACTCTTCAAAAAATAACAAGAAATAAATTACGTGTCAGAAAATAGCCAATCAGTAAATTATTACGTCATGTAATTATTAATAACAACTTACTAAATAAACTCTTAAGATAAAATATAAGAAATATCTTTGCTTAAAACTTGATCTTTATTATTTTAACATAAAACTACTAAATGCGATTAACCAACCTTAGTATTTTATTGCTGATTTTTTTTATGACATGCATTTTCTTAGTCATGGAACCAAAGATATTCTCCTTATTAATAAGTCCAAATTCCAAAATGATTAAGAAAGATAACTTTACTCAAAACATTGAATTAAAAAATAAAACAGTGGAAATCAAAGAAGAAGAAGAAGAAGTGGAGGAGGAAGTGGAGGAACCAATAGAAATTAACTACATTCCACCTAAATTTACTTTTACTGAAGAAGAATTAAAAAACCATCCAGCTCAAAATCCTAGACTAATAAGGTCTTCTTATCCTGGAGTTAGCAATATTCGATTAAATTATGAAGGTAAATGTGGTGAACACTTCAAATATCCACCACATACCACACGAGATATTGTTTTTGGTGCTTTTGAAGAATATAGTAACAATTCTCCTGAACAAGTAATATTCAGAGAAAAAATAGCTAGAACATTAGAAATTACTAGGACAACATTATCAAAAGCTAAGTTTGTTGTATGTTATAAGGGAAATCTTAGTGGAGCAATGGAAAAATTATTTAAATATTATAATGTTGAACTAATTAAAGCACCAGCAAAATATGATCATTTTCATATTGCTAATGCAAGATTCTTTTTATTCTATGATTATATGATGAAACATCGTTCAGAGATTGATAGAGTTTTAATGATTGATCTTAAAGATATTTATGTTTTTGCTGATATTTTTGCAGCAGTAGATCCAAATCAATGGGTTATGATGAGTGAATGTTTTGACCATAGATTTTGTCTTCATTTAGGAGAAGGTCAATGGCATAATGAAAAATTGAGAGAGTTTTATGGAAATCCACCATTACGAGAGTGGAGAAAATTAAATGTTGTAGAAATTAATAGTGGATTGCATATTGGAAATATAAATAAAGCAATTGAGTTCTGTGAATATTACATTTCTAACTTTGATATAAAATATTGTGATAGATGGGCGTATGAACAACAAATGACTAATGTAATTATATGGACAAAACCCAATAAAATTAATGCTGTTGTAATAGACAAATGTGATCAGCTTATGTGTTTCCCTGCAGGATTACCAGCAATCTTTTCATTTTCAAATTCAAACTCTATTCGTTATGCTAAAGATGGATGTTCACCAATTGTTCTTCACAAAGGATTACCACCACTTTGGGAAAGATTTTATAATTTTGAAAATAAAATAAATTAATTGCAAACAAATATTAATTATAATTATTAATAATTGATTTGATAGTCAAAAATCATTTCATTTTTAAAAATTCAAAAATGAAAGAAAAGAATTAATTTGTTTTAGTATTTTCATGTGAGGTAAATATTTGTTCTAAAGTAACACCACTGTGTGAAACTTTCTTTTTATTTGGATTACATACATTTAAAAATCCTTTGTATGTATATCCAACAAATGCAAGATTCTTTGTATCTTGAGGTGATATTTTAGCGTCAAAACTTTCTTCTTCTTCAAAGTCTTCAAAATTACTTGTATCAAACATAGAGCTTAGTTTGGGAAGATAAGGAGGTGTATTTTTCTCAACACAACTAAAATCAAATCCTTTAAAGAATGGATGTGCTTTAATTTCTTCAATAGAACTATATCTTTTATTGACAGGACAAATAAGATGATGAATAAGGTCTTTAACTTCATCACTTAAATCTAATCTTGATGGAAATTTATAAGATTCTGGATAATTAACAATCTTTAAACACGTTTGTACTGCATCATCACTTAAAAATGGTGGAAATCCACATACCATTTCAAATAAAATACATCCAATACTCCAATAATCACATTCTTTACCATATCCTACTCGTTCAAATACTTCTGGTGCAGTATAGTCAGGTGTTCCTACAACAGAATATACTAAATCACGAGAACGATGTTTATAATCATGCATTTGTTTCATAGTAGTTACACCAAGGTCTACTTTTATTTGTTCTTTTTGTGCTTTTTCAATAAGACTTTTTAATGTAATAGAAGTATCAATTCTATGAAATCCAGTACAAAGTCCAAAATCAGTTAATTTAATATGACCATCATATCCAATCAATATATTGTCTGGTTTAATATCTCTATGAATATAACTCAGTTTGTGAATTGAGTCTATAGCAAGGAATAACTCTGCAATATAAAATCTTGCCATTTCCTCTGTAAAGATATCTTCTTTAATTAATAATGACATCATATCTCCTCCTCCTAAATATTCCATTACAATATATAAATATTCTTCGTCTTGAAATGAATAATACATTTTAACTACCCAATCATTTGTAAAATGTGTTTGTGCCAATATATCTCTTTCAGCCCTAACGTGTTCAATTTGTTTTCTTTCAATCATATCTTTCTTTTTCATTAATTTCATGGCATATACTTCATTTGATCCTTTTCTAACAACAAGTTTAACTTCTCCAAATCCACCTCTTCCAATAACTTTGATAGTTTCAAAATCTTTAGGTGATAATTTTGCTCTCATAAATCTCATATACTCACTTTCTTTTTCATTTAATTCCTCTCTCAATTCATTTTTATCTTTTTCACTTAAATTTGAATTCTTTAGATAATTCTCTAATATTTCTTTTCTATTTTTTCTTTCTTCAAGATATTGTGTTTGTTGTTCTCTTTGTGCAACAATTTTCATCTTTGCTTCTAAACTAGCATCAAGTGTGTGTTGAGATGGCGTTATACTCATTTTATTTTTTTCATTTTTTCAAAGTTCTTTTAACTTTTTTTATTTATTATTTTTTAATATTTTTTGTTTTATAAGTTTATTTTTTTGTTATTATTCTTGTTAAACGAATTTGTTAGTTTAATTTGTCAAAGAAAACAAAAATGAAAAGACTTGTTTTAATTCTTTTTTTCCTTTGGAAGTTGACAGAATGAATGGTACAACGGTCCAGTACCTTTCATGATATCCCTTCTAACATCAAGACATCTTAAATAATTTGCACGAACTTCATGACTTTCTTTGTCAACAACACTCTCTTTACTCCAAAGCCTTTCTGCAATAGCAGAATATCTCTGGAAAACTCTGTCAAAGAAGTTTTGTTCATCAGTACTTTCTCCCCATGAGCAGCCTTCACCTCCTAATACATTTTCCTTTTCTGATGATGAAAGTGATTTAACAGGATCATTGTCATACATATCTCTATTAGTCCATACCCACATCGAATGGGTATTAACACAAGTGCTAGAATCATAACTATTACATAATGGCATTTGTTTATCTAAATAAAATCCTGCGGAAAAGATTGCTTTATAACCAGAATTAACAACTTGTTGAAGTAATCGAATATCATCCCATACTTGAATAATAGTATTTTTATCATCATTTCCTTTTTTAAATACTTCTTCCCATACAACTGGATGTTTACCATTATGAATTACCTGTTCTTGTGCATATTTATTAAAATATCCCTCTAACTCTGTAAGAGAATTGAGTCCTTTTGATTTCATGAATTTTTGAATGTCACTATATTCCTTTGACTTTGACCATCCACTTGTCCATACTTCATCACCTCCAACATGGACATAATCAGTACCAAATGTATCGGATAATTCCTTCATTAATGCGTCAATGATTGGGAATGTATTTGGATTAGCTGGATTTAATGAAAGGACATTCTCTCCATATCTCATTGATGTACTAACAATATAATCCCAACAATTAGCAACTACACCTGGATATCCAAGATTCCATGATGCTGTATGTGCAGGTGTGTCAATTTCTCCATAAACAATAACACCTCTATTAGCACCATATTGTGCTAATTCTCTAAGAAAAGATTGTGTGAGAACAAAACTTTCGTCATACATTCCTTTTTGATGTAACAATGGATATTTCTTTGACTCAAAGACAAATGTTTGTGCATCACTTAAATGAATATGCAAAACATTTGCTTTAACTGATGCTAATGTATCAATAATTCTTTTAAACATTAAAGGAGATAATGGATTTCTTGAAGGATCTACCATTAATCCTCTCCATTTAAATCTTGGTGCATCACTTATTTTAATTGGTAATTGTGAAATTACAAATTTGTTTGATGAAATTCTAATTAATTGAAGTAATGTTTCAAATGCATGACGTGCACCATATACTGTAACTGCTTTAATGGAAATACTATTAGTAGTAACTTCAAGAATATAACTTTCATCAAATCCAATTTGTAATTTTGGCATAGGATTTGAAGAAGATAACTCTACAACAACATCAGTTATAACACTTGAAACTGATGGAGTTATTCTTGGTAAATCTATCTCTTTAAACAATGATACTTTAAAATCTTGTAAACCTGTTTATTGTTGTAAAGGGAATGAAATGGTATGGTTGAAGTTTGATTTAAGAAAGTTAATGCAATAGCTCATGGTGACTTCAATTGAAATGATACTGAGCCAATTGATTTTTGACATTCAAACCATTCCAGCAAAGACTGTAGAGATAAATATAATAAAAAAGAATATATGCCTAACCTTTAAAACAAGAAAAGATATAAAAGAAGATGACAAGATAGTCATAAAAATGAAAAATAAAAAACAGTTAAAGATGATTTTTATTTAAAATAACAAAGCTACTCCATCAGAATTGATGGATGAAGTTGGTTGTGATTAAAGAATGCATTGACAGCTTTTTTAATTTCATCAACCTTATTTCTGTCTCTAGCATAAACCCGTTTAAATTGAGTTTTAGTTTCTGTAGGATAAACGGTTGGAGGGGTTAAGTAACAAAATTCTTTTGAGTCGTTACTTTCAATAAATGGAATTTTATTCCAATTATATTCACGAGCTAAAACAATACTTTGGTTATCAACAATGATGTCTTCAGGTCTTAAGTTTGAAGCAGCACAGCAAATTTGCTCTGGAGTTAGGTCATTTAATAAAAGTTTATTTTCTTCAGTTTGAATAATTTTTGAAACAATTTGATAAAAATCACCTCGCTCGACTCTATGAAGAATAGCTTTAGCCTTCTGTAACTCTGGCTTTTCAGTAAATCTAATTTGGTCAACTATACCATCATCTAATTGAATAAATTTATCTAAGTCATTTGGGTCAGATTGTAATAATGGAATATAATTATATGACTCAGCCAATAAATCAGTAAACATCAATTCAACAGAAGTAGCATCATCATTCAAATAGACGTCACTATATAAACTATACCTATTAGTAAAAAATGATGCAATATCACTTCTAATTTCTCTGAAATAACAAATATTGTTATTTACTATAGCACAGTTTTGGATAATTTCTTGAACTTTAAAATGAAGTGGTAAATTAAGATGATGTGAATCTCTTCTAAGATAATCTAATCTATCCACATCAATACCATTTTCTTCATTACTAATAATTTGTCTTCTCCAAGATTTGTCACAATCTCCTTCATTAGTAATAAGTGATTTGACTATTTTAATTTCTTCTTCAGTTAAATCAATTTGGTTTTGATCAACTATACGGTGAAAAATTTTAGCAGACTGTTCTTCATGATTAAAATGAATGTTCCTTGCCTTCATTAGTCTTTCATATAAATGACTAAAAGGTCCATGTCCTAGGTCATGGCAGAGTCCAGCAATTTCAATAAGTTTTGCATCTTGTGAAGTGACATAATCATTTTTGTCTACCTCTTCTTTTTGGCATTGTTTTATATTGAGCTCACGAACCATTTTATTTGCCAATTGAGCAACACCTAGAGAATGTTCATATCTCGTATGAGTACCAGATGGAAATACATAATGTGCAGTTCCTAGTTGTTTGATTCTTCTAAGCCTCTGAAACTCTATTGTTTTAGTAATTGTTTCACAGTCACATGATAACCTTTCATTGTAAAAGTTCTCAGTTTTAATATTTGACTGTCTTCTTTTAATTATATTAGGCTTTACCATTTCACATGGACTTCTTTTCTTTGGAGTCGAGACTGGTGTTTGAGACATGGTATATTCTTTCTATTTTTTCTTCATCTTTTTCTTTTTTAAATTCTTTTTTTTTTTTGAACTTTTTCTTGAAATAAACCCTTTTCTATTTTTTTAGACGTCATTTTATTTTTTAACAAAATAAATTTTTATAACATAAATCAATTTAATTAATCTTGTTCCATTGGGGTTATAGTCAAATTTGTTAAATATTCATGAATGGCATTTGAAGCTCTATGAGCATCACCAACTGCATCAACAATTGATTTTGGACCAGTAATACAATCCCCAGCTGCATATAAACCATTAATGCTTGTTTTATAATTTTCATCGACTTTTAATGTACCATATTGAGTTAGTTCTACTCCAGGACAACACCCTAAATCTACAACTTGTGAAATGGCTTGAATAACCATATCACAGTCAATAACAAATTCACTGCCTGGAATTGGAACTGGTGCAGCTCTTCCAGATTCATCTGACTCTCCTAATTTCATTTTAATACATTCAATTCCTTTAACTTTTCCATTCTCATCTCCAATAATTTTAGTTGGATTACATAATGTCATCATAGTAACTCCTTCTTCCTTTGCTTCTTCTATTTCTGATGATGAAGCTGGCATCTCATGTTCTGATCTTCTATAAATAATAAATGCTTCACTTCCGAGTCTTCTTGCAACTCTAACAGCATCCATAGCAGAAAATCCAGCTCCAACTACTGCAACTTTCTTTCCAATTGTTTTTCTAGCAAAAGTATTAATTGATTCAAGATATGGAATAACATGTTCTACACCAATAAGATCTTCTCCTGGAATACCAAGTACTTTTCTTTTTAATGTTCCAATTCCTACAAAGACTGCATCATATTCGTTAAGTAAAGAAGGAATATTATCAACTTTAGCATTTGTTCTAAATTCAATTCCTAATCTTTTAATTCTATCAATATCTTCATCTAATTTATCTCTTGGAAGTCTATATGGTGGAATACATAAAATCATCATTCCTCCTAATTTATGTTTTTGTTCATAAACAACAACTTTATGTCCTTTTAATCTTAAGAAATATGCAGCAGCTAATCCAGCTGGTCCAGACCCAACAACAGCAACTTTTTTACTAGTATCTGGTGCAATGTCTATTTTAATATCTTCTTCATTTGCATAGGTAATTGCTGATCTTTTCAACTCCATGATTTGAAGCTCTCCACCCCTCTTTGCTTTTACACAAGTCTTTTCACAATAATGTGGACAAACTCTTCCACATATATGTAGTAATGGCATATCCTTCAATATGACATTTGTTGCTTCATTAAATTCCCCTTTCTTTAAATGAATAATATATTCTGGAATATTAATATGAGCTGGACATGTTGGTACACATCCTGGTTTTTTACATCCAAGACACCTTGATGCTTCTTCTATTGTTTCTTCTTTAGAATAACCAACAACTACCTCCTTCCAATCGTTAATTCTTTCTTCAGGATTTCTTTTTAGGACATGTGTAATGTTGAAACTCTTCATTTAATTGAATTGATGAGTTGACAATTCTTGATGTTTATATGTTTAGAAACGAAGTGAAGAAGATATTTTTTATGTATTAATACAAAAATATTTAAGTGATATTCAGGAATTATTATGTAACTTTTTTGTATTTGCACTGTAATTCAAAGATTATTATAATTAACCTCAGCTATATAATGTTTTATGTTCTTGTCCCAATGCAGTTAATTCATTCTATCAATTAAAAAACATGAACGTGTTTATTGACTAACCAATAAAACGAGATGAGAAGGTCCATATCTGTCCATTGAATCTTTTGGTAAAACAATGTTATCTTTAACTGTTTTATAAAACATATTTTAAACTATGTTCTAATTGAAACTTCAAACTCTATCATATGAATTACCAAAATTTTCATTTCAACTCTCTCGGACATGAATTTATTATTTTTTAACTTATAAAGTATATTCCTAAAATAATAAAGAAATAAATAAAAGTGTAAATAGAATTAAATTTTATTATTCTTATATCATTAGAAATTCATCTCATCATTATTTTTTCTTCTAGTAATTCTAAGGCATATTTTTATGATAATATCGATGTTCATTTACATCCATCATAATTTTAATGTTAAGTTTTTAACTTCTTTTACAATAGCATTTTCAATTTTGTATTTAACTTTTAATACTTTATGTATTTATTCAATTGACTCAAATTTATTATTCCATTTATTTTAATATTTATTATTTCTCTACTTTCATTGGCATATTCTTTATTTCTTTATTCATAATTATTTTCTTCAATTATCTCAATTATTATTGTGATACACAATATTCATATCATATATTATATTACTTTTATTCTTTTTATCTATTACTTATATTTATCTTTGTATTTCACTATTTTTATATTGTGTTAATGAATATTTCCAGTTACTTATTCTCATTATACTTAAATTTAATTCATTTAATGTTATAATGACATTATCATAATTGATATATCTTTCATTCCACGAGGTGATTTGTTTTATTTTCAATTCTCTTTATTTAATATCACCTGTGTTTCATATAACGATTTCCAATATTCTAAAGTAATATCGTTATTTGGGTATATTTCATTTTTTGGGTCTTTCTTCCTTATTCTAATTTTCTTGTTAGAATCAAACATGATTTTATTTGTATTGATTCTGATTATTTCATCTTTATTAAATTTAATTCTTTCTTTGATCATTGTCATCATATATTTTAGGTACTTTGTTCTTTCTAGTGCTTTAACTTTTATTCCTTCTTCAGAATATTCTTTTAATTTCATGACGCACTTTATTCTGTACAATTTCATTGACTAAATCTTCTAGTCTATTAATTTTCTTTAGGATTTCTTTTGTTTCATATCAAATTTGTCTCTTATTATTTTATTTTGGAGATAAAAGTATATAATCATTGAAATCCTTTTCATATCATCTTGCAGATCCTGCATTCTGCTTCCTGACCATATCCATCTATTATTAATTTCCATTATCAATCGGTCAGCTTCTTTTCATTGAAAGTAGTAATTAATGTTTGAACATTTTTCTATTTTCATTTCTTTCACTTTATTGATGAGAGTGTTAAGGTATTCTTCATCAATTTCTGTAGAGTTATTTTTTATTATGATGTTTTTTATTATTGAATTACACTCTACTCTTCTTTATATTATATCATTTACTTTCATTTTAATGTACCGTTTAGTACTTTCTTTTATTTTATGTGATATTTTAATATATTTAATATATTCTTTTTCATTATTGACATTAATGTTTATTACTTTTATTATACTTTCAATTTGTTCCCATCTTAATTTCTTATATAATTTCTTGTTTAACCAATTAATTGCAAAAACAATACAACACTTCAATTAAAATTCTATTTCTTTCTTTTTTTGTATTTCTTGTATTTTCATTATGTTTTGTTTGTTATTTATTATTCTTACGGTTTTACATCTATCATTTCTTTAATTTGGATTTTTGTTTTTAATTTCTTCTTCATTTGTTTTAATGTCTTTTTCTTCAATGTCTTTTGTCTTTTTCTTTAATTTCTTCTTTAGTTTTTTTCAATTATCTTATTCTTTCTGATTGAATATACTTCTTGTTGAATATAATACCATCTTTTCCTTTTACCTTCATATTTTTTGAGTATTTCTTCATACTCTCGTTTGTTCAATTTACTTCCTATTCTTTTTATTCTTTCTTGTATCTCATTTATT